TGAATTGGGTCAGTTGGATCACAGCTTGAAGCCCCATCTCAGGGCCGACTGGTCAGGTGCCGGAAAGCCATCAGTGCAGGGGAGCTGCGCATTGGCATCGAAGCACCTGAGGACGATCATCGCGGCAGTCAGCTGGGTTGGTATCATCCGAGCTGCCTGGCATCAGGGGATATGGGGGTTTCCATAAATGGAGGTACCCTAATGGCTGGATGGTTTATAAGGGAAAATCCCATTAAATTGATGATTTAGGGGTACTCCCATTTATGAAAACCCCCATATGGGCAGGACGTATAGTGGGGGTAAAGCTGCCAAATATGCTTTGTATATGTAGATGTATACGAGATGTATATATAGATTTAATGGTGATTCAATGGGATTTAATGGGATGTCTCTGAAAATTGATGATTTAAGGCTGATTCAATGAGGCTCAACCACGAGATATATGATGGAATGTAAGTGATTCAACCAACAAGTATGGGATAGAATATGCATGCATCTAATCTATGGGTGAATTACAGGTCACCGGAATGTTGGTTGGGATTGGGGTAGAGTACATAACTTTCCCCAAATGGGTGCACTTTTCAGGTCAGTGAATTTTTACAATGTATCCAGATATGGTTGAACATGATGGGATTACTAGTTTTTCTCACAAAATTGGGTTTAATATGGTTTAACCAACCAAAAATATGAAATATCATGAGGGTATATAGGGGTATATAACCAAGAATTTTGTGGGATGCACCAGCAAATATTGGGATATCAACCAACCCAACCTTATGGGGATATATTGAAACTAGGAACATTAATCATCATGTTTTTTGGGGGTGTCTGAAAATTTGATGTACCTCTAAGTCTGACAATTTGATTGGGGAACATGCTTTTCTAAAACACTGCATTTCAGGGCCTTCAGGGTTCCTTATTTTCAGACAAACCCATGAACAATCAGCGTCAGCGTATAGAACCTGGCAATTTTATGGGCATGCAATCAGGAATTATATTTCCAAGAATTTGAGATAGAGTTGCGGGATATCCATTTTATTAACCATCAAACAATGGGGAAAACTTGGGCAATCTACAAATCCAAGGCTGCTTGTGGAAGACATTTTCCTTCCAGAAGAATGCCAACAAGAAGACTCCTGGTTGAGACGAGATTATGATCAGAATTGGTGTGTGTTCGACGAAGAACAATCTGGAAATGTATATCTTACTTGATGGTATAGTAAGTAATAGGTATATAATATATAGATAGGCATTTGTATATATAATAGTATTTGACTATAATAACCTGTATGTTCGTTTGTTCTGTGTTCTGTGCTAATTTTCCCCTTCAACCTGGGGCCGGGGCACCTTTTGAGGATGGGACGTCTGAAGAGGCATCATATTCCTCCTGGAACGCCCGTGTCTTAGTTTCTGATTTTCATTTTCAGGGGTTTCGTATTTTCCATACCCATAGGATCCATGGTGCTGGCATATATGCTCACATTGGGGGTATATTGGTGGGATCCATGTTACCATATATAGCATACATGGATCCTATGGGATATAAGACTAGCCGAAGTTCAATATCATATGATTTCATAAGGTTTTCAATACAACACTGTCCCTGTTTTGCGGGGCCATTCCAGTGATCAACCTCCTCATCTCAAGGATTGAATCCACCGCAGACATCCAGAACTTTCATCATCTGAAAGCAGAGGATAAAGAGCTCATCCAATCTCTGCTGGATGGCAAGGTGCGACATGACTTGGTGACTTTCTTTGGGCGTTTGATTCGACCAGAATCGATGGGGATTCAACAGATTCAACTGATCTAAGCACAAGGACGATTCGCAGGGGCGCTGTATGATTGAAATCAGGGGTGGGATTGAAAACCTACCCCCCAAAGGTCACTGCAACAGCAAATAAGGCCCTGTGTTTCGAGTCATTTTGGGTCTATCACTGTTGTAGGGTTTAGATTATTTAGATGTACTGTATTCCCTTAAATCAACCGAGTGGGTTATGGTTCAGAATTTTGTTCACAGCCTGACTGCGCTTAAGGGGTCAAATGTGATCAATGACCAGCATGGGAGCCCACTTGAATATAGAATATCCATGGAGCCCTCTTTTTCATGGATGAGTTGGCAATTATACAGCAATTTTAATCCTGTCTCCCCAATAATATATGAAAACCCTCCCTCAGAAAAGAAGGCCTGCTACACTGCTAGAATGTACCGTGGGATCCACTAATAGTACCCGATCCCCAATTCCTGGTTAATTCTTGTGTATTTCAAAAAAAGCATGGTTTGAAACGACTCCCAAATGGTTGGTTAGCAGGGATGATGCGGGTATGGTTGATTATGACAGTGTGGATCCCTTCATACTAGTTATCTAGTTATTGTCTTTTTTGTTCTGATTTTCATACCAGTGTTTTTCCATCCCAGTTATCCAATATATCGCAACAATATCTTAATATACATATATATAATATTATAAAATATACAAATTTATCTATGTTTTAATTTACCAATACCAGTATCTAGTGACCACCATGAAAAGTCCTTTAGCATTGTTCTGAATTGGAATTTGATTTTCCTTTGTCTTGAGGTTTCTATAATTAATTAGGTATCAACCATGGTTCGAATGCCCTTCCCTCAGAATTGGATGATTGAAAATGTGCAGGAAAACCCTACCCTTGATGAGAAACAACGGGTTCCCCTAGATGTTCACACAAACCAATCCATTGACAATAACTTTCCCACTGACAAATCCCAAAATCATCCCAATATCTTTTTCATTATCATCCCAATATCATCCCAATATCATCCCAATATGATCACTTTTTTCGTCCCCAGTCACATGTCCTTTCTACTTGGTCTTCCATGGTGAATCCCCAACCACAATAAAGCCGTCGTCATCGCCGTCGTCGCCATCGTCAGGCTTCGCGGATCGAAGCGGCTGCCCGCGGATCCCAGGATGCGAAGATCGCGGCGAAGATCGTGACGAAGATCGAAGGCAACACCATGACCCTCACAGGCGCCAAAATGGGTGTGAATCAAAATGGAAGACCGATGTGGGACCACAGATCGAAATGTCTAGTTTAGTATTAACCATCCAATTATTGGGGTACCTAATTTTTACCCATACCCAAAATCTCTGGAAGCCGTCTGAAAGGTCTGAAAGTGGAGGGAATAACTTTTTTTTTGAGGATCCAGAAGAGATCTGTTAGCGGAAGAATGAGTTTTTTTTACCATGAACATGTGGCTATGAGTCAGAGTGAAAGCAGACAAACGTAGCATTTTTTTTTAACGCTTCCGAATAAACCACCACATATGATATAATAGCTGTTGATATAATAGGTTTGGACTCATCCCCATATATAATATATATATATATGTGATTATGTGATTATATATTATATATCAACATGAGATCATCAAGTGGGGATGGGTCGTCCCATGTATGCGACCATTGGTTGTTTTGGGGATCAGGGGTACCAGGGTGAACTTCTTCGGGTGTTGCGGCGCCTCGCCATATGGGCGCGCCCGATGTACGTTTGTTGTCTCGCAACTCTTCGCAAGAGCAGGAGCAAGCCACACAGTTCACGACAACTCTTCCATACCAGATCATGTTTGATAATTTTGGGGTTTGTCTGAAAGTGGTGTATCCTGTATCCCTAATTCCAACAGATTATCATAACATTCTCCATTTTCAGACAAACCCTTGTGTGTCCCGTGGGCAACACAGGCCCCACCTTCCAGTTCAAGGAGGATTTGAAGAAGTTGGGCGCCAAATTCAACGGACAGACCAAAGCTTGGGTCATCACCAAAAAGGAGAGATGCAGTGGCGGGGTATGGTGAGTTCACTGCGGCCACTCCGAGGGGTAGAATTGGGTACCAAGAAACACAACAATTAGATGATAGAATTAGCACAAATTGGAAATCTCTTCTGTAACACATCCATTTTTATAGGTCAATGGAGTGTCTACGTATGACATCGTATGACTCTTTTGCTTTTGGACCACATTACTTGGATTGTCACAGAGGGCGAAAGGGCCACTTAATAAAGCAAACCTCTAGGAGCCAGAGGCGGCACCGCCTTCCATTGCGATGTCCCTCGTGGGTTTGCATACCTATTTTTGTTCGGTTCGGCAAAGGGGTATGAATCAAAACCTATGAAACATAAGATTTGTTTGGGGATAAACATCCATTTACAAAAAAAACAATGTGTGAACAGAAGGGACAGGGCCCTCAAATCTGTTTGCAGAGGACAACGACTCGTTCGAGAAAGTTCTCAACTTCTTGGCTGGAAAGGAGACTGGTTGAATATCTCAGTGCCATCGCGGTACTTCAATTCAGGTGTTCGTCAAGACGGGTATTATGGCCACCTCATCATCATCATCATCATCAACATCATCATCATCATCATCACCATCATCATCAGCAGCAGCAGCATCACCAGCATCACCAGCATCACCAGCATCCCCATCATCATCACCATCATCATCATCATCACAATCACCATCACCATCACCATCACCATCACCATCACCATCATCACCATCACCATCACCATCATCATCATCAGCAGCAGCATCACCAGCATCACCATCACCATCATCATCATCATCATTATCACCACCATCACCATCACCATCACCATCACCATCACCATCACCACCATCACCATCATCACCACCATCATCACCACCATCACCATCATCATCATCATCATCACCACCATCACCATCACCATCATCATCACCACCATCACCATCACCATCACCATCACCACCATCACCATCACCATCACCATCACCATCACCATCACCACCATCACCATCACCATCACCATCATCATCATCACCATCATCACCATCACCATCACCATCATCACCATCATCATCACCACCACCACAATCTGCCAGTTTTTTCTTGTTTCTCCATCCTTGCACAGCCCCTGAAGGACGGAGACAATGACAGCAAGCCCTCAGGTCCGCGGGCCGCCAAGCGCCAGCGGACCTGAATGGCCGGGCAAATCTGGAGGATCAACCGATCCAAATATCGCTTGCTAGGCATATCCCATTTATAGCTGGTTGGTGGTTTGTTTTTTTTTTTGATATATTGGGGGGGGAAGTAACCCCAACTGACGAACTCATATTTTTCAGAGGGGTAGGTATACCACCAACCAGATAGCTATAGCCATAGAATAACTCACAATATCTCACAATTATTGTGATTGATAAGTGGGATTATGAGTCTATTAAATTCTATTGTAAAAAAAATATGATACACCTAAAATGAGATAACTCGAATTGGGGGCACCTATTCTCCAGCCTTAGACACTTACTAAATGGGATCCTCCAAGTAGGGCAAAGCTGCAGACCCCGGGTCCGGAAAATCCGGCGCCCTGGCGACAGCATCGATTGGTGTGAAAAGACGGCTGAGTGCAGAGATGTGTCCAGCTTGCTTGGATGATCCCCAGATTCTTGTTAAATATGTTATATAAATGGCTAGAGAGATTTGCATCCCAATCTGATATATATATATATATGTTGTGTATATATATATGTTTATAAATATGTTATATAAATGGCTACTTAGATGGGCCATGGGATTAGCGATTTATGGTTAGTAACTGGGGATATTTGTTGCCCCAAAAACATCCCAATGAAATAATCCATTTACTAACTAGTTAACTAACTCCATGGCCCATCTAAGTAGAGAGATCTGCCCCAATGTCCCAATCTGATCATCCCAAGTGACTAATATTTTTCAGAGGGGTTGAAACCATCAACCAGTGATCTATTGTATTCCAACTCAGCAGCTAGTGATGGCATGCAGTCCAGGACATGTTTTTCAACACAGTCGTTTTTAAGCAACATGTTGTTTCAGGGTTGGCAAATGTAAAGGGCTCCCCCAACATGATCTGGGTCATGTTTCAACTGTCCGTTTTTTTGAGTCATAGTCCATTGTGGAATAATATAGGAATCCTGTCAACTATCAACCAACCCATTAGAGGCAGTACGAATAGGCATAGGTTTCAGAATTGTTTCAGCTGCATTTGAACCTGGATCATCGAACTCTGAGACATAGTGAGGGCACACATGATTTCCTTCAAGTTTCCCCATGTGGAACCCATCTTTCAAAATGGTAAACATGATGTTAACTACCCATTTAGCTTTAATGGTAAACCGGTAAAATCCATACTTTTTTTAGTAACCCCAAAAAATAGTGAAAAGTACACTACCACTATTTATCACTAAGAACTTCCTTTTCGGGAAGGCACTAATAGGTTTTGCCCATTCTCCGATCAGGCTCCAGTCTACCAGGCGACTATTGGCGGCAGGGCTGACTCTGTGGAATGTGGTGAAGAGTGCCCATACCATTTGGTGATGTCACTGGAATGCTGAGGAAGGGGAATCATCCCCATATGGCCCTTTCAATTTTAGCTATTTTCAGCTTTAAGTGAATCAATGTGGGTAAAACAATAATACACCATCCATCACCATCCCCTTCACCATAAATAGGTGGTACAAGCCATTCCCACATGGGTACAAGGTGGTGCCCCCAAGATAGCTCAGTTGGTTTATAACTCTAATTTCACTAGGACTTATGGTAGATACATCGAACTAGTTAATGGGATTATAAACTAACGTTCACATCACTTGGGGGCACCACCTTGTAGTCTCTGGTACCACCAACAATATTACATGTAATATGATATATGGTGTACCAACATAATTACTAATGGTACAATGTGGGGCCCCCCAGTTATGTTTGTTGGTGTATAAACCCCATTAACTATAGTTATAAGTACCATAAACCATAGTTATTGGAGTTATAAACCAACTTAGCTATCTTGGGGGCCCCACATTGCAACACTATAATTCGGGCCAGAGACCGTTCATCTGAGCGAATAAACCAGCTGGGAGTTTTCCAGCTGGGTACTGAGGCGACCCGAAAACCAGTAACTGTTCCGAAATGGCCGCGCCCTTTTAGAGGTCGGTGAAGTATATGTGATGGAATCATTATTTACACATACATATATATATATATTTATTCAATACATATATATATATATTTATTCAATATATATATATATATGATCGAGAGACCTTTGGGTACCATTTTGTTCCGGTTAATTATGATAATTTTTAAAGCTTTTTGGAAAATTGAGAGGATTTAAAGAATTAAATGATTTAATCTTTTTAATCCTTTTAATCCTCCAGAGCCTTTGGGGGATTAAACGGATTAAAAGGATTAAATCATTTAATCCTTTTAATCCTTTTAATCCTCCAGAGCCTTTGGGGGATTAAAAGGATTAAAATCATTTAATCCTTTTAATCCTTTTAATCCTCCAAAGCCTCTGGAGGATTAAAAGGATTAAAAGGATTAAATGCTTGGTCCTCACATTGGGGTTCTGGGGGCTCTGGATTAAAAGGATTAAAAGGATTAAAAGGATTAAATGATTTAATCCTTTTAATCCTTTTAATCCTCCAGAGCCTTTGGGGGATTAAAAGGATTAAAAGGATTTAATCCTTTTAATCCTTTTAATCCTCCAGAGCTTTTGGGGGATTAAAAGGATTAAAAGGATTAAAAGGATTAAATCATTTAATCGCTTTAATCCTTTTAATCCTTTTAATCCTCCAGAGCCCGAGCCTTTGGGGGATTAAACGGATTAAAAGGATTAAAATGCTTGGTCCTCACATTGGGGTTCTGGGGGCTCTGGAGGATTAAAAGGATTAAAAGGATTAAATCATTTAATTAACTCCAATCTCTGGGGGATTAAAAGGATTAAAAGGATTAAAGGATTAAATGATTTAATCCTTTTAATCCTTTTAATCCTCCAGAGCCTTTGGGGGATTAAAAGGATTAAAAGGATTAAATCATTTAATCCTTTTAATCCTTTTAATCCTTTTAATCCTCCAGAGCCCCCAGAACCCCAATGTGAGGACCAAGCATTTAATCCTTTTAATCCTTTTAATCCTTTTAATCCTCCAGAGCCTTTGGAAAAATTAGGATTAAATCATTTAATCCAATGCTTGGGCCTTAGACTCCAGATCTCTGGGGGATTAAAAGGACTAAAAGGATTAAAAGGATTAAATGATTTAATCCTTTTAATCCTTTTAATCCTCCAGAGCCTTTGGGGGATTAAACGGATTAAAAGGATTAAATGATTTAATTAATCCTTTTAATCCTCCAGAGCCTTTGGGGGATTAAATGGATTAAAAGGATTAAATGATTTAATCCTTTTAATCCTTTTAATCCTCCAGAGCTTTTGGGGGATTAAAAGGATTAAAAGGATTAAATCATTTAATCCTTTTAATCCCTTTTAATCCTTTTAATCCTTTTAATCCTCCAGAGCCCCCAGAACCCCAATGTGAGGACCAAGCATTTAATCCTTTTAATCCTTTTAGTCCTCCAGAGGCCTTGGAGGATTAAAAGGATTAAAAGGATTAAATGATTTAATCCTTTTAATCCTTTTAATCCTCCAGAGCCTTTGGGGGATTAAATGGATTAAAAGGATTAAATGATTTAATCCTTTTAATCCTTTTAATCCTCCAGAGCTTTTGGGGGATTAAAAGGATTAAAAGGATTAAATCATTTAATCCTTTTAATCCCTTTAATCCTTTTAATCCTTTTAATCCTCCAGAGCCCCCAGAACCCCAATGTGAGGACCAAGCATTTAATCCTTTTAATCCTTTTATCCTCCAGAGGCAGATCCTGATTTAATCCTTTTAATCCCCTCCAGAGGATTAAAAGGTGATTAAAAGGATTTAATCCTTTTAATCCTCCAAGGATTAAAAGGATTAAAGGATTAAATGTTTAATTTAATCCTTTTAATCCTTTTAATCCTCCAGGGGGTCCGGAATTCCCGGTCCAAGCCCTTGAGAAATATATTTAAATCCATTTAATCCTTTTAATCCTCCAGAGCCTTTTGGGGATTAAAAGGATTAAACGGATTAAATGATTTAAATCCTTTTAATCCTTTTAATCCTTTAATCCTTTTAATCCTTTTAATCCTCCAGAGCCTTTTGGTAGGTTCAACAGGGTTCCGGATAAAGTTCCGGGAGGCTTTGGTGCAGAGCCAGGGCAGGCTCAACAGGGCTCCGGGTTTCTGGAGAAGGTTCCGGGAGGCTTTGGTGCAGAGCCAGGTTAGGTTCAACAGGGTTCTGGTGAAGGTTCCGGAGAAGGTTCCGGGAGGCTTTGGTGCAGAGTGAGGTGAAGTTCAACAGGATTTGTGGCCATTTAACTCACGGAAACCCAGCTGAAGTGTTTCCAGCGGTTGGCTTTGCAGCAGGCTTCAGAAAGATTAGTAAAAATAAAACGTTGCGGCTGTTGTGCATACCACCGAAGCTTGTTTTCCAAAGACATTTGCTGTGGATGGAAATTGCATGTCCCTTCAAAGTTGCAAGAATGCAGGGGTGAGGCATGTCACCCTGCCTTTGGCAGCATTGTAAGTGACAGCACACGAGATTTCTTGTAAAGAAGCAAGACCCGGATTTCTGGGCACCGCCACTGTCCATTTGGAAACATTTTGTTTGTTTGAAATTTCCTGGAACAAATATTTTTCGACAAGGGCCACATCACCACATGGGACTTTCAAAAAGCAATGCTCTTGAGCTGCATTGAAAGCTGGTGAGCCTCCATCCACATTGTGCAAACAGACAACATCACCAGAAGTAATTGTTGCCCCAGAAAAAAGTTTACAACAAGAGCTCTGCATGCAAGGCATTCCCACAGGAACCACGCCAGCATTGCATAGGAATGCCGTCATCTTCTTTGTGGGGCCCCCTTTGCATTTTGTAGGCAGGTGCCTTCTCTAACAATCTTGACTCTTCACCCAATGTACAGATGTGCTCTGCAATGACAGACTTCATCAAAGAAGTTTCCCAATGGGTAGTGTTGCACAAGACATTCCCATGTTTTCTAATGCCTTTGTGCTTCCTTTCCATGGTCCAGCATGCAGGTAATTGGCCATGCCTCTGGAGACTTTGACTATAATATGAAGTGACCAGTGCA